AGACAGACAGACAGACAGACAAGAGAAACAGACAGATAATTCCGGTATAAAGAGAGAGATGGGGAGCGATCGAGAGACAGTGATACTGATCGAAAGAGAGAGAGAGAGAGAGAGAGAGAGAGAGAGAGAGAGAGAGAGAGAGAGAGAGAGAGAGAGAGACCTCCACACATTCATACTAAGGAGCCTCTATACCGAAGCCCGCACATAAAAAAGCGTAAAACAAATCTACAAAGTATTTGTAAAACGGTTTATTTTCATTTTCAAAAACAGCACATAAACACTGACGCCATGGCCAAGGTTAGAAAAGACAATACAAAGAAGTGGCGACTTCGAAACAAAATGGTAAAACAGCACCCTCTGATCGAAGTGTACAGAGACTCAGTATGTACAATTACTACAATACGGTGTGGTAGGGGTTTAATGCCTGTTTCAACACAGTAACTTTGTTAATTAACAGACAGCAAATGCCTATCTCCGACAGGTATAAGGAGAACTATGGAAACCTGTATCACAACCGAAGTTCAGGAATACCCCGACAGGGATTCCAACGATGGTCTTCAGTACCACACCCCTGGCAGATTCCAGCTGAGAAATTGACCTACACTAACTTACAGAGACCTAAGTATCAGTTGCTAATTAAAGGGGTTTTACGCCAATTTCAATGCTGTAAGGTTACCTTGAGAGGTGGGACATCCAATTTCAAGGTCCATCTACGATAGGACAGAGCCAAAAGGGTGGGGAGCCTTGACAAATTCTCTAAACAACCCAAGTTCAAGAACCCTCCATAAGAAATACGAAGCAGTGCCATCTGTATCATCATAGCCCAGTGTGATATAAACTGAGCCAACTGGGTAGATCTCTACAGAAACTCAAGTCATTTTGATTTGATGCGAAAGAGAATGGTAACCTTCGGTGGTAAAGTGCTTTAACAGCAGGACAAAGGACTTAACAACCAAACATCGGGTGGGGGGGGGGGAGAAGGGGCGGGGGAAGGAAATAAACTAGGATGAACCAATGCAGCCCGCTTCAGGGGCAGGAAAGATAAAACTTGTCCAAACGTTTACGACGTGCACACAATTCAGTTATCATTTCATGTAATGTATTTGAAATGGCGTTGAGACACAAGCATGTGCGTGTAGCTACTGTGTAAATCACGGGAAAGAGTAGAATTGAAAATGTCTGACGAATGATTATGACTGTCATGTAATTGTGCACAAGGGTTCGATATGACTAAAAGTTAACATTATAGAACATACGCATACGCAGTGTAGATGTGTGTATGTGTGTGTGTGTGATGTGTGTGTGTGTGT